TTTTATTTTTTATTTATTTTTTTGGAGAAAAAAAAAGGGAGGGGACATGAACTTTTGACATCAAGAAGACAAAGTCTTTCTAAAACAAAAAATATCATTAGACTAAAGACTCATTAGAGTTGGGGATATACCGTAAATTCAGACATTCTAAGGTTAAAATTTGATATTTATTTAAGGTCGGGTTTCAAAAGATTTATTATTTATAAATTTTTTAATCTCAATGTAAATGATTTATTTTTGACTGAATTGGAGATAATATTAATTAAAGTGTGCATAAGTTAACTTGAATAATCTTGACTGAAATTTAAAAAAAAAAGAAAGAAATAGTGGGAGGAAGAAGTTAGTGGAGCCTGGCTAGATCATAATGATGATATGGATAGCATATATGAATGGTCCTTAAGAAATGCACTTTATTTGTCACGGATGATTTAGGAATGTGATTGACAATATCGATAATTAAGGGGTTAAATTGACATTTCTCATAATATATTATAGAGACGAATGACAAATTTAGTCAAATGTTACTTGATACTATTCGTTACCAAACCCCAAATTTGACATTTAGGGACGAAAGTGACAAGATTGGAAAAAAGGGGATATCTTGTGACACTAAGTGTTTACTTTAGGGATTGAATGTATTGTTACACACACACACACACACACATATATTTATTTATTTATTTATATGTAAATTTTTTTTAAAAATAAAAATTGCATCTTCTTCCTGTTTAGGTTTGTGGTGAAAATACCAGAAGGGATGGCATCAGAACAGGCAGCTCCACTACTATGTGCAGCAATAACAGTGTACAGCCCACTAAACCATTTTGGGTTGAAAGAGAGTGGTCTAAGAGGAGCCATATTGGGGCTTGGAGGGGTTGGACACATGGGTGTGAAGGTAGCAAAAGCAATGGGCCATCACATAACTGTGATAAGCTCTTCAGACAAGAAGAGAGAGGAGGCTCTGGGACACCTTGGTGCTGATGAGTACCTGGTCAGTTCAGACATGACTCGGATGCAAGAGGCTGCTGACTCACTTGATTATATCATTGACACAGTGCCTGTCTTTCACCCTCTTGAGCCTTATCTCTCTTTGTTGAAAGTTGATGGAAAGTTGATTTTGACTGGTGTTATCAACACCCCACTGCAGTTTATCACCCCTATGGTTATGCTTGGTGAGTCTCTCTCTCTCTCTCTCTCTCTGATTTTGACCGGTGTTATCAACACCCCCACTGCAGTTTATCACCCCTATGGTTATGCTTGGTGTCTCTCTCTTTCTCACACACACACACATAATATAAAGTGGTGCGTTTGGACGATATCTGTTAAATCAATCATATTTTACTGTACCAATATTGGACGATTAAGAGATAATACGATAAAAATTGAACAAAGTGGGACTTAGAATATGAAGATAGAACTAGGAATGATAATATTTGTAAAAAAGCACAAATAGCACATACCGAATATAAATTAAGAGATAAGTGACTTAGGTCGTTTGAACAAATTTGTAGATCGTTTGAACAAATTTGTAGAAAGTCTAATAAGTGCATGAGTGAGAAGAATAATGGGTACTTGTTAGAAATGATAGATAATGGTTTAACAAAAAGGTATGATCCTCAATAGAACACAACGATGAAAAAGAGATAATGTTTTCTTAAGTTGAGCTGAGCTGAGCATAGCAAAGTTGGTTTAATCCAAAAATGATCCACTTATTACGTAGGTATCAGTCAATGTGGTCATGATTTAAACCCGTTAAGACTAAATTTATTTTCATTAAATTCATGTAAGTTTACTATTGTGTAAAGGATGCATATATAAATAAATAATACAGAACCTTTTTTTTTTGCTATTTAAAAAAAAGGTGGGGTAAAAAATGGCGTCTAGAGACCACTCCGATAAGCCCTTACTAGTGGGATTATGAGGCCCCTGATAGCACCTATTACATCTCTTGCAAACGAATCTAGTTAGATTAACATAGCGGTCAACTTTTAAACTTAATTGTGGATTCTAAGATTCGAACTTTCAATCTCTAGGTTGGTTGGTACCTACTTGTTCATCCCCACTCGATGGTAAACAATACAGAATTTAAAGGCCTAGGCTTATAGATTCTGATTATAGGTATGTTTTTGCTTTTTTTTCCCCATGAAGGGAGGAAGACCATCACAGGGACCTTCGTAGGGAGCATGAAAGAAACAGAGGAAATGCTTGAGTTCTGCAAGGAGAAGGACCTCACTTCCATGATTGAACTGGTGAAAATGGATTACATCAGCACTGCTTTTGAGAGATTGGAGAAGAACGATGTCAGGTACCGGTTCGTCGTCGACGTCGCAGGCAGCAAGCTTGATCAGTAACTTGAAAATCAAACACAACTATAAAGATACATTACTCAAATTTTCATGAAATTTTACACCTTCTATGTATTTGAATATTTTGTTCTTAATTTGGTGGTGTTGTGAGGTTGAGATTCTCTCCGTTATATTTCACTCGATATTATTGAATAGTAGGCCGTGAATTTAAGTGAGGTCCACTAATTATAAGTGGGTCCCACATCTATTCAGAGTAAGTGGTTTACAATTGAGTGAAAGTTTAATCGTGAGAATTTGAATCAAGTGTTACTGTGTTGTGGGAGAGAGTGATGTGTTTCATTTTCTTTGTTCCATTTCCCTCGGTGAGAAAGACAAGCTCTTATTTTCGATGTAGTTTCTTGGATAGTAATGTTATTAACCCTTTTTTGGTGGTTGTTTTATTCCTTGGTGGTTGTCTTTGGTACTTGATAGTGAAAGATACCTAACTTGATTTTGATTAATTATGGAGATGTTTTTTATATTTGTTATTATTATTATTTATCATTATTATGGGATTGGTGCATGGTCAACAAGAAATTACATGGTTTGTGATTTTTTAGATAATAATTGAAAATAATAGTTTTGAATCAAAAGGTAATGGATAAGCTGTTTAAAGGCTACTAAATGATCAATACCTTGTTTAGGACTAAGATCGGAATCGAAAAAAGAGGTTTTCTTGGTTAGACTTTGAGTGGGGCACTTTCACAAAAGACTATTCTTATTCCTCTTCCATCTTTATTGGGAAAAAAAATTATATAACCACCCAAACACTCTTTCCATCTGTTTTTCTCAGACCAGACCTGCCCTTCGCCAACCCCCTCTCTTTGTGAGCAACAACCCAAAGACGTTGGCGGTTGTCTACGGTACCCACAAAAAAAATAATAGGTTCCTATCAATATTTATTATTTTTTTGAGTATTTTTATTATTTTTTTGGGTATCGTAATGATTAAAATATCTATAAAAATAATAATAAATTTTAAGTGTACGCTACTAAAATTTTTTATTCGATGCCATTGTCAAAGTTCAAGACTTTGCGGTCTTGCTTAATAAAAACTGGTTTTCTGTTCAAGGATGACCTTGAAATTCTCATCCACATATAGAAAAAGAGAGTCACGGTTCAGCTTTAGAACTGCTCCCACCGACGCAAGTATGACTTTTAAGAACACAATAATTTTCAGGATAGATGTGAACCATCAACAGTTGATGCGATCTCCAACCACTAAAAAGAATTAGTGGCTGAGAGAGAGAGAAACTTCTTGGTTCTATGCAATAAGTCTGGAATTTGACTCAACCACCCCCAAGATTGAATATATCATCGATTTTTTAAGTTGTTTCTTCCGTTCTTAAATATTTATAATTTACATAATTTTTTTTATTCTGTAATATTTATCGTTTTATGAAATTAAATTATAATTAATATTTTTTTTTCAAATTTATCCTAATTTTTTTAATATATTTAATTAGGTAGAAGTTAAGTGTTTTTCATATTCCTTTCTTTTTCAATATATATTGAATAAGAGTATTTTAGTCTAGTGTAATTATTTTTTACTTCTATTAAAGTTATTTAATAATTTTTTTAATCTCTGCGTAAAAATCTTAAACAATAAATATTTAAGAATATAGAGAGTACCTAAATTCCCAGAGGTGGTAACCAGTAAGCTGAGTGGTAATCTCATAAATATTTAAGAATAGTTTTTTAACCAATAAATATCCCAGAGGTGGTAACTGTGCGTGCAAGATTCTGTACAATATAAAAATGAGAACAGATCTCTCCCTTGGTGAACTCGAGTGAGTCAGTTGAGTGATCAACCACGCTGCTTGGAACAGCCTGCGAGGTCCGATGGTATCCTGGAACGGCAACGGGAGACTCTGGGGGAGCGGAAGAACGATCCAGTAAGGCTGAAGAAAGGTTCCTGGAACAAAGAAGAACAAGTTAGAAGGGCGCCGTAGTATTTTTCAGCGTATCCCCTCCGACGATCTAGTCAGTCTTTGAGAGAGAAAGAAGAAAACACTGAGTGTGTATTGTAGTAAAGAGTTTGTTGTTGCATACATGTCTTGCCTTTTGCAAGGAGTATTTATATCTCAAAAGCTCATGATTGCTGTCAGTGTAGTCAGTAGGTGATCATTAGGTACAGGCAGTGTGCGCACTGATTCTGATGAGGAATGTCTTCTCTTCTTAACTGCTCAGGGTCCTGAGCAATCAATGCTGCGTCATCGGGATGTCGACGGTACAATGAACTCCTCTCGGGGAGGATGCAATAAATGCTCTGTATTAGGAACATTTATTGCCTTTCATTTTCGAGCCTTACCGCATTGAATGCAGTCTCGTCAAGGGAATGGTGTAACCAAGTCGCGTGTCAGCAACGACATGCGATTTTTCTGTTTTTGATGTGACATCATATGCCACGCGTCCATCCCCATTGTCTGTGGCCCCTGCATTCCAGTACGTTCTGACACTAATTGTGTAAGACGAGGTCATGATGAATAGCCTAGACTAGCCTAGGCTAATGACCCATACGTCAATAGCTTATCCTGGAGTAGAGGAAGCGTCTAGGACGGGGTACCTCTCGGCACCGAGGAAAGGTTCATCTCGGAACCGAGGGAGGTATACCGACCGAGGTACCATATCAGACCGAGGCTACGTGTCGGTTGTAAAACGTACTGAATGCCATGATCCTATATGACGAGTACCTCGGGGGCGAGGACCTTTGTGCGCCGATGGTGCTTGATTTTAGCAACAGTATTTTGGTAATACCGAGAATACGTGTCTTCATCATGAAGTATTTCAGAAAAGTCCCATCAGTAATCAATAAATATTTAAGAATAGTTTTTTAATCTCATATTTAAGATGAGTGGTAACCAGTAAGCTGCCTTATACCCGGCTCTCGGTAGTGCTATTCAAAATTCTGTCCACCCCGCCCATTCAGCATCCTACCTACGAATTATTAGAATTCTGCAAAATTTTAGCCGGCTAGTGGAAGAAATTTTAAGATTCTAGAAAATTGCGGGTAAGAAAGCAGAATATTTATAAAAAAATTCTCATTTTTATCCGACCCGCACATATATTTAATTCTTCTTTTAAAATGATATATTTAGTATAGAACGACGTCGTTTAATATGATCATATTATTGAATTTATTGTGTTTTTTTTTGTGTTACTAGTTTATTGTGTTGGTTTACATGTTCTTATATTATATTTTAATAGCTTAATTATAAAAATAGCCCAAAATTTTGCAATTAATTTATTAAAATGATCAAAAAATTAATAACTTAAAAACTAAAATATGTGAGATATTTTATATTCCTTCCCGATTTTCGAGCCGATTTTTTGGATAAAATTCAACTAGGAATATTACCCTCGATCGGGTAAAGTCGGCCAAAAAATTAAGGATCCTTTGAAAGGCGGTACACTAAATTAAATTTAATTGTAAAAGAGTACACAGTAAAAAATGTGTTTGTAAAAAAATATAATTGTGAGATAGAAGGACTTCACTGTCTTTTTTTCCACAATTTAGTATCCAAAAATTGGTTTTAGGAAAATAAATTTACTTTAATTATGTGCTGTGTACCCCTTTGTAATTGCTTCATCTTTGAAACACAAAAGAGTAAAAACGGTTTCATCTTCCTCATTCTACACACGATTCAGCCGTCATTCTTCCTTTCAAACTGGTGTGACATTTTCATCTCAGTTGCTGAACAATTTTTTTTTTTTTTTAATGTTCTTTGGCATTTGGGTAATGGTTTGCGGAGCATTGATCTTGTGTCCGTTAACATACAATAAGCAACGAATTTCTTTTTTGTTTGGTAGTGTTTCTGTGTCTTTGATGTTTCTAAGATCATTGTTTATATTTCGAATCAAAAACGTGATTTTGATTTGGTTTTTTTCGTTCTTTTTGGCTTGTGCAAATCAATTTTTTTTTGAAAATTTGAATATGGATATACAATTAATAGATACAATGAAGTCGGTAAAATACCTTATGTTATTGTACTGGTACACTTTTGTTTTTAGGCAAATTCCCAAAACTATTTGATTTTTGAACACTAGGTTGTGGTGCATATACATCTACACCTTAGTTGGTCATGTCTGTTTTTTTTTTTTTTTTTTGCTTGGTGGTGTTTTTGCCCTGGAACATTGATGATAAATATCTTAGTTGAACATATGTTTTCAATTTTAACATTGTATTGTTGCTTCTCAATCGGTGGCTGGGTTTTGTATTCAAACATTTTTTTTGTGATTGTGATATTAAATTAAAATATAATTGTATTGTTACAATGAATTCATATTCAAAATCATGTTTTGAAACAATGGTACATTATAGTGTCTTGTGTAAGTGTATTGTTACACTGTCATGGTTAACTGTATTGTTATACTTTGATAATACACTATAACTGCATTTCTAAATAACATTTGTGTTGTTTATAACTTTATTTACAATCTATGGGAAGAAAAAGAAAGTCATCTACAACTAAATACGAACTCTGAAATAAAGAATTGGTGTTAGAGCAAAGTCTGGGGCCATCATAAACGAGCTGAATTTTTATTATCCTTATAAATTTGAGCTGAATTCGAGTTTAATTTACACATAAACGAGCTGATTCATTTAACTATTTACACATAAACGAGCTTAAAAAATGTTTAAGCTTGACTCGTTTACCAGCTCTACGTGGAATGGACACGAAGTTGTGTTTGGATATTGCTCACACGGCCGACACAAAGTTAGATTGAAAAATTTAGAATTAATTGAATTGGAAGTTTTCAAAGTATGATATTTATCTCATTTAAATCACTAATATTTCAATGGTATCATTTTGATCCTAAAATATTTAATATAATTCTATGTGGTCCCTCAGGGAAACAACATCCAAATTGTTAACGATTTTTAATTATAAACTTGTCACATAATACTTAAATATAGATAAAAAAATAATTTGAATAATTTTTGACTAAATTTCTATCCAAATTTTGGTTAAAGAACTACTCAAATTACACAGTTTTGATCATGAG